CAGTGACGACGCGTGCCCTATCTGGAAGGGTGTGCGGCCCTTCTTTAATGTTGTTTTTACATGTACCACTTAAATTAAAATATATGAGAAGTTTTATTAATAATAACCATATTATATAAGGCAACAATATATTCGCAATATTATATTAACAATTCATTAACAAAATAACATATTAAACAAATTAAATTAATAATTTATATACAAGTTTAATATTATATCAATATGGAAGAAACAAAACATTTCACATAATTCTCGTAACATCAAACCAAATTTTTTCAAACAAAAGAGTTTGTACTTAGAAACATACATGTTTGTGCAGTGATCAAACAAAATCGAAACCACTTGCAATGTGCGCACAAGTACCCCGCACAATAAGAACAGAAATTCGTGGGTGCTGCTGTTAAAAGGGGAGAGACGAAATGTGATAAAAATGTATGGTGAGATGAGCTGCAAACTTCAGCCGCTCATGCAACCACTTTGGCAAATCATAATGTTGGATTCGTATGCATACAGTTGATATTCGAATAGAACAGAAAATTACTCTCATACAATTCCCACTATATAAATCTCTATCTCTGATATTACGAACGGGAGCACACGCACATTATTTTGTTCATATGTAACGTATGAATGTGCGGCCAACTTCTTTGCACACAAAGGGGAGAGACGAAATAAAATAGAAATGTTCTGTGATTTGAGCTGCAAATATATGAGCACAACTAACAAGTATAGCAGCTAACAGAAGCAAATTAATTGAGTTTTCATAGACAATTATATTTAATTGTTTTTGCTAAAACTTTAAAAATATATATGTATATGGAAATGTAATAAATAATAATAATTCTTGATGTAAAGATACCTAATAAATTTATATACCTATGTTATTTAACATTTTGCAAATAATATTAGGGTGTTCACCGCACACCTCCGCACCTTAGAGCAGTCGTCACTGCTTTATTTTGATATCTGTAGTGTTCATGTTTTTAAATAGGTTCCAAATTCGAATGATTGTTTTTTATTCGACATTTTTTTTTCACTTTTTGTTGTTATTTTTTTAATTTTTTATACAATAGAAGATATAAAATCATCTGCTCTGATTTTCACAACTTTACCGAGAAAGAATTAATTTATCATTTTATTTTATCCTGATAGGAGTATTCAAGATCTTTGTGCATCGTTGCATGTGCAAAATTGTTTGATTTTACAAAAACAAATCCCTTTCTTATGATTCTGCAATTGATTTCCAAGGCAATATCCAAGACCATATTTTCGATACCAATCTGTTTTGAATGATACAAATTTTGTTGACAATTGTTTGATTTTGCAACTATTTCACGTCCAAGAAAGTACTATAATATACATATAAATGCACAAATCTAAATTACCCAATAATTCTGCAAGACCAAAATCTAGCACAGTATTCAATATATTCTACTTTTCACTTTTTCTTGGCATCGTTAAAATTATGCATATCGAATCTGAATTACATTTTACAAGTAAACAAATACAAAAACAAAAATCAGCTGTTCTAAATATTTACAAGAGTAATATGCACAAAATGCATTCACGGCTATTTATGATCTTGAATAACACAAAAACAAAAAAAAATGCAACTATTCACATGTTTTCAATTTTCTGCAAATATTACCAAAAATCCGCAGAGTTACCACTCACAGCAAAATTTAGGAAGCGGCAACCATAAGCGTTAACAGTTTAATAATCTCCGTAACTGATTAAATTCGAGCTAATTGTTTTTATTCAAAATTCAGTGTCAGCTGTTATATGCTACTTAAATTTAAACATTATTACAGGCATTTGGAAGTTTTTGTGAGTGGCGCTTAGGTATATTTATAAATTGCTAAGTAATTATTATTTTTTAAGTGAAAACAAGAATTTAAAATCAAAATTATTGCAATTGTATGTTGTTGTTGACATGTGTAAGACTCCCTTCAATTGCACGTGAATGCCATATCATAATAAAGGGTTTTAGATTTATAAACAATTAAATTAAAAATATGTAATTAATAATAAAACATAATGTGTAGATTTACTTTACTCATATTTTTAAAATTATATTTTAATATCATGCTTTGTTCTTTGAATAATAAATACCGTACAAAAAACATGGAAAATTTATTTTTATATAATTACATAAAAATATTGTATTGCAGCAACCCTATAAATCGCTGTTACGATTCATAACCTTAACCTTAACGGAAAATGCAGCATTAAGACACTGCAACAGCTATAATCATTTTAATATTCTAGAAGGAATGCACTCTGAAACGACAAAACGTAAAAGCACAGAGAAAACTATTAAATGGGAACCAGAGAGGATACTGGAAGGATCATCAATTGACCATAGCGTCATTGTGTTAAACAGAAAAATCAGTCTACCAGCGGATATATTACAATGCATTTGGCAAAGAGGTACAAACGCATTTTAATTAGCAATGGCAAATGTGTTATATTTAAAACATTTTGTTTTAGCGCATATTCGATGCACTGTTGATGGAGGTACAAATCATTGGCTACAATTTCTAAAAACAGAATGTCAAGGTTTAGAAATGAAACCTCCTGACTTAATAACAGGCGACTTTGATTCTATTAACAAAGAATCATTAAATTACTTCAAAACAACGCGCATAGTGCACACTCCAGATCAGGATTATACGGACTTTACAAAAGCTTTGGCATTAATACGACCAATGCTACAACCTAAGCTTGTAAGAAAAATTAAATATTTCAGAATTTGGATTAAATAGTTATTGCGTTTTTTTTTAGTTAAATGACATAGTTGTTCTGCATGACACCTCTGGTCGCTTCGATCAGATTATGGGTAATATAAATACTCTTCATCGTTTTAAAGATTTGAAGGTGCATTTACTTAGTCGAAATTCTTTAACATGGCTATTACGTCCCGGCAAACATTCCATAGAAATTCCAAGCGATTTAGTGAATGAGCAACGGTGGTGTGCATTGATGCCTATAGGAGAGGCTGTCAAAAATATAACAACAACTGGTTTGAAATGGGACTTGAGTAAGGTTCAATCAGTTTTTATAATTAAAATAGCAAACTTACATTTTTACATTTTTTAATTATAAAACAGAGAATGATAGTATGGAATTTGGAGGTTTGGTGAGCACTTCTAATACATATGCTAGCAAAAATGTACAAATCGAAACACCTACAAGTTTAATCTGGTCAATGGGAGTATATAATTTTGACAATTAAATTAAGATATTTGTAAATTAGGAACAAATTTAAATTACTGATGATAGATAATTTTTATGTAATCATATAATTGAGGAAGGGCATTATGTGTTATTTACGTTATGTGCAATCTAATCAATAATTGGAAATGAACTTGATTTTGATTATTGGTTACTTAAAATTAGTGTAGAACTTTAAAAGCATGTTTTTTATTTTTATATAGTCTTTGTATAATTACTTGTATAAAAAAAATTGTTGTACTTAAAAAATGTTAAAATTACATTAAGATTTAACGAGAATCGAACAAATTAAAACACAATTGATAAATAAACATTTGTTTTCATAGCAAACAAAACTAAAAATTAAACTTACTTCGAAGTTGGTACAGGCATCATTTGAAAACCACTAGTAGTACCTTATAAATAAAGAAAAGTATTAAAACAAATTTATATATAATATTGGTTTACTTGTATTATATATATACCTGTTTTTTTCCCCAGCCAAGAATTATTACTGCCTTTGGATTTTCCTCTCGAACTTGATCCGGCATTTCTACTGCCACGATTGCCTTTGCTGAAACTTCTCTTTTTCGGGCTACTACTTGCGGCTTCGCCCCAACCTGTAGAATTGGCTCTACTTCTCTTGTATTTTTGTGAACTGCCTCTATATACCCTCTTCCGTTTGCCACCTCTACTAAAGCTACCTTGTGATACCGTAGCGAAATCATCAGCATCATCGTCAAATTTTAAAACTTTCTTTGATTTTGCTCCTTTTTTGGCGTTGGATATAATGTTCGTTAAAGGCAATGAAATATCATTTTCTTCCACTTCATTTGAATTGGTCATATCTTCCATATCCATCATTAAACTCAATTTTTCAGCAGCATACCCTTGTGTGATTTCAAGCAATTTTACTCCATATTTATCAAAATTGGCTTTTGTAACATGAGGTATTGTACGCATATCGGTCTCTGTTTCTGGTAAAGATTCAGCCATTGCTTTCAGAGCTTGTATGTTCATAATACTAGCCATGGTAACATTGCGTGCAGCTGCGATAGTACGGCAGAGATCCAACAAATCAGAATAGCATCGTTCATAAATTGAACGAAATTCTGATTGTCCAGTGCTCGCATTAGATAACGTGTCTGTACTTGTAGCAATAAGTGTCTTGCTAGCCTTCTTATGGATAACATGAAAATTAATTTCGACATCCTCATTCATTAATCTAGATATTTTTGGACCTAAATTCATATAAGCTTGCGGTATGTCCATGGCAAAGATCACATCTTCACGGAGATATTCTTTTATAACCAAGGTTCGCAAAATGCGTTGAATATCAGACTTGTCCCAATCTTTTAAATAACCGTGATATGGAGTTTTATCGTGTCGAAAATCAACAATTTTTTTTATCATAGAACCTTTTAATACATCGGCTGCAAATTAATGAGTTATAAATGTTATATTTATTTTTTTAAATAAGATTTAAAAATACCCATATGGAGTAAAGTAAATCTCGATCGTCCTCCACATAGATCTTTAACTGCTTGTGCAATTTTTCGGCAAATCTCTAAGACATTAATTTTCTGAAAACGTTGATTTTAAATGTACGGAGTAATGCTATTAATACTTATCACTGTATGAATAATCGTGTAAGATATTTGTTAAGTAAATAAAATATAATTTTAAAATAATCCTATATTATATCTGTGCCGATATCAAGAAAATAACACACGTTCCCAATAAAGAATAGGCAGAAACTAAACCGCCCATAAGGTTATGTATAATTAATTATCAAGCAAGTCCTGCTGTCAGCCCACAAAAGTGTACCACGAATATGAGATGACCGTTTCTTAAATAAGTTATTCCTTTTGAGCAAAACGTGACTTTTCATTTAACTCTTAGATTACAAGAATACCTGTTTTGACATTAACAATTTATTGTATATATAATATTCTAGCATATGATATAATGTTATGTCTACTAATCTATGCAACAGAAACTCAAATTTAGTCGAGTCTTGGATCTTCTCATGTATTATATATCCTATTTTATAAATCAAAACAATATTGACTTTTACCTTATAAAGTTTTTGCTTAAGACAATTATCACAGGCAGTTTCACGATTAGCCAAGCATTGTTCACTTGTGAAATGTTCACCGAAATAGTCCAGTTGTTGTGCTCGACGACAGTCTGTCACATTTTCACAATAACCAACAATACGATTTAAATTGTCTAAATGCATTTTTTTAACATCTAACGTGACACTTTTTTCCACTGTAATTAAGTCAATTATAAAATATTTAAATAAGTCAAAATTCCTTTAATTAAAATAAAACTTACTATCTGCTAATTTTTTTAACCGTAATTTATCTGAGTAATTGTAATATAGTACACAATGTGCCACTTCACCATCACGGCCAGCTCGTCCTGATTCCTGATAATAACCTTCTATGGATTTTGGCAACGAGTAATGTAAGACGAAACGTACATCAGGTTTATCTATGCCCATACCAAAAGCAATGGTGGCACATATAACACGTAATTTATTCATAATCCAATCTTTTTGTCGTGATTCTCTCATATTATCCGTGAGTCCTGCATGATAAGCAGTTGCTTTAATACCTGATTTTACTAATGCATCAGCTACAGTTTCGCATTCTTTTCGCGAGAGGCAATAAATAATTCCACTACTGGTTGCGGGATATAGTCGAATAAATGCTTTCATATCTTCAATAGTTTTGGCACCTTTCTTAGGCAGGACGCTATATTTAAGATTGCTACGATTAAAACTAGAAAGGAACCATTTACATTTTGAAACGTTCATTTGTCGCAAAATATCCTGACGCACACGAGGAGTCGCTGTGGCGGTTAATAACATAATTGGTACCTTAGGAAAACGTTTTCGTAATATACCAAGTTTTTTGTAATCCGGCCGAAAATCATGTCCCCACTGTGAAACACAATGTGCTTCATCAATAACAAAACGACTAATATAATTTCCTTCATACAAATAATCAAGTAAATCCTGAAATTATATACAAATTTCTATCATTAGTGAATAATTCAAAATAAATTAAATAAAAATTATAAAGTATACTTGAAATTTTGAGGAACTAGATATTTTCTCAGGAGTTACATAAAGTATTTTAATACGTGGTGGTCTGAGTTCTAAATCACAATAAATACCACGAGATTCTTGTAACGATTGTTCGCCAGAGAGGGATTTTGCATAAATCTAAATAAAAAAAAAGAAAAATATGTATATGGAAATATAAATTGTTTAAAAAATTAATGCACATACATCTAAAGAAGACATTTTATTAACTTGATCCAAAATAAGTGATTTTAAAGGGCTTATTACTATAGTAACACCTTCTGTTAAAATACTAGGCAGTTGATAGCATAATGATTTTCCACCTCCAGTTGGCATTAAAACAAAACAATCATTGTGTAACAATGTCGCATTAATAACTTGTCTTTGATTCGGTCGAAAACTTTTAAGACCAAAATTAAATTGTAATGATTCCGTCACACTTTCTGTATGTGAATATGTTCCATCGAATTCGCCAGTTATACCATCATTTTGTACGTCAGAATAAAAATTGCCAGCAAATTTCTGTGATGATTTTGAAATGTACGTATTCGGATTTTTTGCAGTATTTTTAGGTGTCTGATTGATATTAGAAATGTTTATTTTTTCCTTAATGTTACTAGTTGAAGGTGTATCATCACATAAATCGACAATGCTCGGATGTGTGGCTTTATGTTTTTCTGCAGCTTGTGAAAATGCTATTTCAAATTGTTCAGCATCATAAACCTGAATATTGTAATTACAATGTTTTAACAAAATAATAATAAGAAAAGAAAGTAAAATTATATTTTTAAAAAATATATAAAACAATGTAAAATATAAAATGAAATGAGTTAAAATGTAAAAATGTAATAAATTAATAACACTTACTTGCCAACCATCGTCATCGACATTTTCAGAAATTGAATCCACATCGATGACACTTGTATTCCTCGATACATTTCTTTTATGTGCCGGCGCTTGCTTTTGCTCAAAATCTTTATAAGAATAGTTAACATATTCAGATTTACGACCAGTCATAAGATCTTTCTCGTCTTTAATATCTTTTATTAACTCATCTAACTCGTCTTCGCTTTCAGCTTTCTCATTGTGTGTTAATATATTATCGTCTACATAAGATGTATCAGTGTGATTATTCTGATTTCTATTGTTAGCAAAAGATTTTGGTGCAAATGATTCATCTAAGTCATCATTACCAGAATAATCACACAAGTCATTAACCAGTTGCTCGCGCAAACGTAATTCATCTTGCTGATTATACTTTCCATTTTTGAATACATCCTTGCAACTTTTTTTTTCAATCATTGACTCATGTTTTGGTATTAAATCTTCTACATCATCTGGTGGACCATTGACATAGTTTGAGAGTGGTGCGCTTCGATGATGATTCGATTCTTTTACATTATTATTACGTATTTCCTCTTCCTCCTGTTCTATGTAATCAAAGTAATCATTATCATAATTTGGTTCACATAGTTCCACTTTTTTATATTTATCTAGTTTATTTTGCAATAATTTTGTTTTGGCTTTGAATTTATGACGCAGCACTTTTAAGTTTAAAAAAGTACTGATATCAAAACCAGAGATTCTGCTAAAGAAATCCGCAGGTATTTGATCAACAATATTACAAAATTTTTCCATCAACTCGATGTATGTTGATTTAAAGCAGGCTAAACTTGATTTTAAAACATGTTCATTATTCTAAGGAACATGAAAATTTTTATTATGATTAAAATAAATTCAATTTATTCATTGTTTTACCTGATTGTCGCAAATTTTATATTCATTCGATTGCTCCAAATTGCTCAGGTACTGACTTAATCCAAACTCGAACACAACACTTATATTACTACTCTTATTTTCTTGAGACTTATCTGGTAACTGATGTCTGCTTTCCAAATTACATGCTTTTTCACTTTTATCTTTAGCTTCAATTTTCACTTTATTGCTGTCTGCATCTTTATGTCTTACAGGTGATAAACACTTATCAGTAGAAAGATTGTTTTCATCTACATTACTTTGCACTTCTTTATTTTTTATTTGACTTGGATTTTTGTCTTTAACTGAATTATAATCTACTTCAAAACTGTTATTAATGTCAGTTGAGCAATTTGATAAATCAGTTCTCAAGACCTGTTTGTTTACTGGGGAATATTCAATGTCAGTTGAACAATTTGACAAGTCATTTTTAGTTTTTGTTTCTTTATTTGGAGTATTTTCAGGCGAAATGAAACATTTTTTTTCATTAGAAAATTTTTTCAAATTGGCATCAAGTCGAGCTAGTGCTAATTTATATGCTGGTTCTTCTTCTATTTCCTTTTCTATGGTTTTAAGGTTTTCCCTATTAAGTAACGATTCATTTTTATAGTTTGGGCTAGTCTCATTCGGCCGTTTTAGGTTGGGCGATAATGTATGTGTTGCCGTAATATCCGCTTTATTATTATCATTTGATTCTTTTATTGATTCGGACGTGCTCTGAGTTTCTTGTGATTGTGTGGAAAATTTTTGAGTCAGTGCATAATCGTCTTCATCTGAAGAAGAATCAATATAAATTGGATTGAAGACATTTCGTTTCCTTGTTTGCGGCATTCGAGTGCAGCTTTTTTGACTCAAGCTAGAACTACGAACATCGGATGTGTTTTCTGTTTAAATACAAAATATTACTTTTAAATGTTAAAAAAATTCGAATTTATTTTTACTTACGCTTTTTTTGCTTTTCTTCATTAATAAAAGATAATAAACTAGTTTGTTTAACGCTTTTCTGGCTGGCATTGACATTTTGTGATGTGTGTTCATCTACACAAATAGAGAAAATATAAATTAAATAGAGTACATTATTGATAACAGATTATTTACCTTTATTTTGCTCTTTATTACTATTAATAAAACTACTTAAAGAAAGTTGTCGTTTATTCATGATATATATTTGTAGTAGTTTTAATTGCAAAATTTCCCGCCCTTCACAACCTTTTCACAATATTGCAAATCAACATATGTAAGTGTTTCAGTATAATTAAAAAAATGTATAAAATATGAAACATATGATACTGTACATAGACCTATTCCCGTACGTTGTATGAGTACTTAAATTTTACTATTTTATATTTTGTTTTACTCAACAGCTAGTAAGCCAAGAGAATTGATGAGAGCAAATTGTCATTTTGTACTGTACAAAATTTATTTGAATTATATTTTCAAAATTAGATGAAATAAACTTTAGCAACTGCTGATCTTTTATAATCTTCCACATAGTGTATTGAAAATTCCAGCTATACTGAAATATGAAATATATATAAAAATTTATAAAATTTAAAATTTTATCTATTTATAATTAGATTAAAACTAGAAAATAGAAATGTAAATGTTACATCTGATTTAATAAATTTGAATTTAAAATGTTTTTCTGATAGAAGATATATGATTTTATTCATATGTGGCTTATAACAGCGAACACTATTTTTTTTTTAAGACATTTGAAGTGAAAATAGAATTATAATAAATATATAATGTTATAAATTTAACATATTGTAATAACATTTATTTTGATATAAATTGTAATAAATTGAATGCAGTTACTTTCATAATCATAAATTTATTACAATTAATATCCATAAGAATAGATGCGTTTACATTGTAAGATTAAAAGTAGGTTAAAGCAATCATTGAGATTAAAGTACTTATATAATTGTTTAATCACAGATTTCCCATACAAAAGTTGATCTCGTTTTGGTCGAGATTAATTTTTAATCTCCTTAAAAATGATGATTATTTTTCTGTGCAACTCTGCAAATAGCTTAATATCGTAAATTTTTTTTACGATGCTAGAAAAATTGAAAAAGATATGTCAAAATCAAAACAAACTTTGAAAATGCCAAAGTTACCCACATTTTAATAAATTTGTTTAATAATAGCTTTGTACATAATTATAACTAAATTTTGTTAAATTATTGTTATAAAACTATTAATTAAATTTATATTAAAATTTTTGTAATATATTATATTATAAAATTGTAATTAAATGCTTTATTTACAGAAATTCATGAAACATACGAAACATAACACAATAAGATAAACGTCAAAAATTATCTTCAGTGTATTATGTAAACGATGGAGATTAAAAATGCAGATTAACTTAATCTCGTTCTCTTAATCTCACAATGTAATTGTCGTATTACAATTCTCAAGTGAAAAAGGCAGCTTGTAGCTTCTGTTGAAGGAAGGCCGTGTTTTCAGTAGAGTACACCGCAATGTACAAAATTGGAGAGGCTCACACTAGGCAAAAGCTCCTGAAGGCGAGTGCTACGTGAGTTCGAGTCCTGGAAAATTAGTTAATATGGCCAGTTAAGTGAGTAAATAAGTATTAAATTAGATAATTCAACAACATATAGTTCGTTTATTTGGCATTTATTCAAACAAATGGCATTAATCGTAATACGAATGTCAATAAATACCTTTCAATTGGTGTTGTAAAGTTATTGAAATAACAAATTTATTGTTATGAAAATGCTTCATTTACATTTTGCAAGAATTAAATACTGAACAAAATCAGACTTTGATAATAGGTATTTATTAACAGACCTTCATTTATAATTAAATCATTTATTCAAATGAATTCAAAAAAGGTCAGAAATTGGTTTTGTTTATTTTATTTATTTGAAATTATAAACTTTAAAAATAAAATTTGCTTAATATATTATAGTTTCTGCTCTACTATCGTGGCTATATCAACTCCTTGTATACAGTCTATCCTTAGTCAGTAATTACTATTTAGCAAGAATAGCCTCACTTTCACCACTCACTTATATTCCAATTTGGTTAAGATATATTTGTTATCTAAGTACTAAGCCTTATGTATTATAATGTATAACTGTATTTCCCTTGATGACTGGCATGGGCTTTTCAATAGCTGAAATTTGTTTATTTTGCATTCCTAAGAGGTGGTTTTAATGGGTTCAAGCCTCACGCTGTGGCTTTTAATGATTTCTACCTACCAGACAACAAAAAATATATTATAATGTGTCATAATCAATTTAAATCAATTATTATATTTTAAATAACTGCAGATTAGAGAAGAAAATTTCTTCATGTATTCATGCATGGACCATGTAACTATTTCAGGCTGTGTGCTAGTTCGAGTAAATTGAGGTAAAGTAAATTTAAATTTAATAGGGAATTTTTGCGCTGCACTTATATACACATTTATTTATTTATTTACTGTTTTCAATTTTTCAAATTGATTTATTTATTTAATAAACATCTTTTAAAATTCACAATTTTTATCTAATTTATCCTATTCGAAATTCTGGTAAATAGCAATATTCGCTGCCATACCGACAAAATTTACTATTTCACTCAATTAACTCGAACTTGCACACGGCCATAATGAATAGTAAAACTCAAACTGAAATTGAAATTTTATTATTTAGTACACATTATTGCATTACTGCTGCTGTGTGAAATGTCAAAAACGTAGTAAGTATTTTGTTTAAAAACACGGCTTCTGAAAATGTTTGTTTACGATTTGGTTCGTCCGATTATTTATATAAAAATTCATTGGCATGCTTTTACCGCAACTTATAGAAAAAATATTTGAGAAGTACGAAAAGTTACGGCAGGAACAAAAGTTTACTCGTAAGACCAAATCATTTCTGCTTATATTTATTCATTTTATTGAAATATACACACACAGCTGCTACACAAAAACAAATATTTGTTGAGTTGAATGCTGTTTTTGGTGACACTTTGAAGCGTGCTTTGGGAATCCTCGACGAACAAATTATATTGATATACTCTACGGAATCAGAAATAAGGGAAATTGTGGAAATCGCGGATAGAAATAATTCGGCTCAAGTTTATAAATTGTTTTCAGGCATAAATTTTTGCCCTTGTAAATATTTTGCAAGCAATGTGCTAAAAGTCAATATATTGAATATTTCGCCAACATATTCTTTTGACAATTCACAAAACACAGACCAGGCTTACACTTGTGAGCACGTTCTAGCATTGCGGCTAGCCAAACTGCTATGCTCCTCTTGTGTACGTAAAGAGATTTTAGTGGCCAATAAGTTTAATTTTTTGTTGCAGCAAATGTGTATTGACGATTTTTAATGCAACACTCAAAAATTCTTTATGAAAAAGGAATTCTAAAAAATTTGAACATGCTCACGCAATCACAATACTCTAATTTTAAATTTGTCGGACGTTTGGATAACATCAAAACATTTTATTCAGGTATTAAAGCTTTAAATTTTGGAGAGGTTAGTATCAGTTAGAAAAATAATATATTAAAATTTTGTATTGAGTACGGATTATATTTGCAGTACGGATCGTTTCAAATTACTGATGATGGTTTTCGAGTTACTGTAGAAAATGGCAAAACGATACAAGCCAGTTTGTTTATTACCATGTCGTGTTTTTCAGAATATCACGTCGATGGCATTGTAAATTTCAGCATAAATATGAATGTTATATCAGAGTGTTTGGGTATATTTTCTGCCACTAATTGTAGTATAAAGATGTTTTACAAAGGTCACTCAGCTCCACTCATAATAGTGCTTGAACCACATGATGAAGATAATATCACAACGGAATGCGCAATTAAAACGACAAACTACGAGGAGCCCATCGATTTTTCATTAGATGAAGATAATCCTAGTCTTAATGTTATTTTTATACGCGGACCAGATTTATCAAACATTTTTCATGAGCTGGATAAAGCCGCTGAAGAAATAGAAATAACCTTATCACCTAGACGACCACATTTCAAAATTGATACTTTGGGGGTAATGCAATCTGAAGCTAGTATAGAAGTTGCAAAAACAAGTGATATGATGATGTTATTTAACTGTCGTGAAACAACAACTGCTCGTTACAACAGCTCTCAAATTCGACTTACACTGAAAGCTTTGTCCGTTGCAAGTAAAGTAGCTATCAAAACAGATTCCAGTGGTTTGCTTGAAATGCATTTTATGATGCAATCAGAAGACCGAGCAGAAATGTATGTACAATTTTATATAACTCCACAAGCGGATGTTTGAACTATTTTTATGTTATGATATAAATTTTTTTAAAATCAATTGTCTTGTTTTCATTTGTTATAATAAGTGCAAATGCTTAGACAGATTGTTAAATTATCGATAAAATACAACAATTTGATGCATGGGTTGGTGATACTACCTATCAAAAACAAAATTGAACCTACTTAACCGCCAATTTCAGTTAAACGTGATGCAAATGACGCTGATCTTTTTGAGCGATGCTTTTTCATCGAGCGTTGGTGAAGAAGATTCGATAGGGTAATTAGGAATATACTGAATTGCCAGGCAATAAATTATATGAGAACACTTGAACGTTCAATTAATACCTTTAAATAGTTATATATATGTTCGTTAGCTCCGTCTTTCTTTCGTTAGCTCGAAAGTCTATAATTACAAGGGGTACTATAAGAAATTTTTTATAAAGCTTTCAGTTTGTTATAATAATAAGAATTAAGAGTAGTATTTCAATTATTTTGCCCTTTTCGTTGTTTTAATAGAATAACCACTTTTTCATTAATTCGTGATATACCAGATGCGTTCCAAAAGCAAATAGGGCTTTTTATAAATAATAAAAAAAATATTTGAATAACTGCTCCCTTTTTGACTGAATCCAATGATTTTCTAGATTATGGACTGTTACCGTTACAATATTTTTGTATGGCTTTTACGTCCACAAAAAGTAAAAAAGAAAAGCCGACAATCATACGTGCCAAATTAACATATGCGGTGATTGGTTGGGCGTTAAAATATGAATTTAATCCAAAAATCAGTGAAAAGTGTTGAATACACCAAAAGTTAGAAAAACTAAGACCCATGTTATGTACTGTCACGGGTGTATCAAAATTCGCTCTTTCGGGCTGTGACGAAAATGCATGTTATGCAGAATGTCACATTATTTTTTCAGTTTCGTATTTTTACTATTACTTTGGTACTATTTGATTGTGCTTGAATTTTAAAGGAAATATACAAAAAAACACAACACAGCGAGGTACAGATAGCTTCGGCCAAAGTTAAACCGACATTTGTTTTTTCTCTTATTCTCAATTTTTAAATTTGCATTAAAAGTAACAACAATTTTAAATTTGTCATGCCCGTGACACTTTATAACATGGGCCTAAGATAATGTTCATTATTAGTTTAGTGAGGTAAGAGGAACACTTTTTAAGGGAATTAAAAAAAATTGTTATTTTTGTGTTAGAGCATTTAAAGTTACTATTGAACTGACATTAATCCGATTCTTAACAAGAAGTAGTTATGGCTTTAGACTCGCCATGTAGTTTATTTAAAGTCGTATTATCCTGTTTGTGTTTCTGAGATTGGTAAACGTAAATAATTATCAATTGTCTGGATAAAATCACATCGTCACTATCATGGCAACTGCATAGGAAATGAGTTTGAATCGAGCTAAATATTAATTATGTTATTTTAGGTGTATTTATATAAATCACTGCCAGAAAATCCTGTTTTGTCAAACACGCACAAATTTCGTGGTATTATTATATTTGCGTCAAAACGAAACAAATCTGGCCACCTGTAAAATCATCTATTAAAACTAGTTGACCGAAAACAACAAACTATGTCCCTTATATAACCCTTATAATCATTGTCTTATACACAGGCATACCTGCTGCTCAAAAAGTACTCGGATTTTGTAAATAAAACACACAAATTTAAATTTTATTCCAAATTTATTTTATCTCCTTCAAAATATGCTTCTTCTGAAGCGATACACATATGCCAACGCTTAACCCAATCTTTCATACACTTTTCGTAGGCCCGTGAAGGTATGACTTTTAGTTCCTTCAGCGAATTCTCTTTTACCGATTCAATCGACTCAAAACGCTTACCACGAAGGGGCAATTTGAGTTTCGGGAACAGAAAAAAGTCACACGGATCCAGATCTGGCGAATTTGGTGCGTGAGCGATGACAGTGGTGCCGTGTTTAGTCAAAAAATTGAGTACAACAAGAATTTTCCATAGTAAAAATCACTAAACGCACTTGAGGTAGTCTCACATTAACAGCTGCTGTAAACAAACTAATTGACGGATGGCGCTCAAATTTGTACCATATGTCAAG